CAAATGCCCTGAAAATTTATTGATATGTAGTTTACATAATCAATAACTCATTAAAAAAATTTCAAAAAATAATAAAATTGTTTAGGCCCATAAATAAAGTGAAAACAAAAAGTTAAAAGTGAAAAAGACAAAATAGTGAGTGGGCGAGCACGTTTTGACACCCCCATCTTTGAAGATTTTTAATGTTTTTTTGGCTTAGCAGAATGGCTTTAAAATTTATAGGCGTGTAGGTTAAATCATAGAAAACTCACAAAAAACAATTCAGAAAAAAAAACTAATGTTTAGGCCCCGAAATAATTTTTGGCGGGGGCCGAACTTGGAGGTGTTCGCCCCCCGAACGGGACCCCGAACGCCTGAACGTTCGGGGGCCAGCCCGGGGGCCCCCGAACGTTCGGTCAGGTAACCCTGAGGGTAACTCTATAAATCTCGTTGTGAACTTGATTTTCTTAGATGAGTGTCTCGTCGCCTATAATGAAAATTAAGATAAAGGTTTATGAAAGAAAAAAATGTAGGTTAAACAAAACACAAACTCATTAACGACACGACATTGCTAATCATCCTAAATGAACAAATCATGTCACCACGATCTCTATCATTCGGTGACTAGACATCCTCCATTTGCTATCTAGCCCTTGTACTATACATAACTGCAAAGACTCTCCTCGTGACTTCATAAGTATTTGTGTGTGTGTGTATGTGTGTGTGTGTGTATGTGTACATGTTTTTTTTCTTTTTTTTCTTGATATGTACGTATTTCAGGGTAAGTTATATAATCAGTTTTCTCATTTTAAATCAATAATGAAAATTTGACATTTCTTTCAAATTGTTAAAGGCTTATTTTAACTTAGAAAGTGTTTTTGCTTTAGTTTTTTTTCCTCACTTTTTTACGTTGGGCTGTCGCCCGGCCAATCACGCCCAGTCATGCATGCATGAGTCAACTGAGCAAAGGAGGAGTCATCGGATAAAACCGGATGGGTAAAAAAAGAGGCAAGGATCCCCTCCCCCCCCCCAAAGAAAAAACAGACTTCATGCTAGGACATGGCTTGACCTAAGCAATCAGAATCTAACATTTCCTTCCATTTCATTGATTAGTTATTCTGAGGGGTCTGGGGTGTATAATAGTAAGTAGAGGGGTTTGGAAAGGTATGGAACAACATATCTAAACTCATGTTTCTTTGCTTATTTTTCATCTTAAAATCTACTATGAATTTTTAGTGAAACCTCAACCAAAATTTATTTGTGTAAATTGTGTTGCAATAATAAGTAACATATTTGTTTGTTTGTTTGTTTTTTAATATTTATTTTTATGATTTTAGTATTGTGCTCTAAGATTGTTCTCGCCCCTGCCGGACCCTGCCTACTCGAGATCGTTTGGAGAGTACACGGGTGACCTTCCCCCAACCTGGCCGCCTAGGGACCCACACTGTTTTTTTTTTTTTTTTTTTTTTTTTAATTTATTTATTTATGAAACCACATGGTTTGCTTTCAAGTTTTGCACTATATTGCTTATGGTGATGAGGCGAGAACAACGATTTTATGACCCTCTGTTAATTACACGTCCTCTCTAATTGTTGCGACCACTTCCTACCTTTCACCTTACCGAGAAGTGGTTCAACCACATGATGTCCTCAAAATTTAGTGATCTTTTTGTTTTTTTCCAACTGACTCCATGTATGAATTGCAAGTACGTTATCCTCATCATTGCACTTCAGTTTCATAAATATGATAAACCTGAACTGCCTCTTGGCACCCTCATCCATCAACCTCTCCCAAGACCAGGCTACAACATCTCTTTCTCTCTCTCTCTCTCACACACACACACACACACATACACAGACCCTCTCTCTCTCTCTCTGTCTCTCTCTCCCCCCCTCTCTCTCTCACACACACACACAGACCCTCTCTCTCTCTCTCTCTCTCTCTCTCTCTCTCTCTCCCTGACATCGGGACACGCGTACACACACACATCGGCATGGTCACCCGCCACCGCCGCGACACAGGGTGACCTCGGACCTCTCTCTCTCTCTCTCTTTGTCTACCCCTCTCTCTCTCTCTCACACACACACATATACATAAACCGACGGGGTCACCCACCGTCATTGTGACGTCGGGTGACACCCTTACCCCTCTCTCTCTCTCTCTCTCACAAAAAAAAAAAACACATGCACACACACACACACACACACACACACACACACACACACACACACACCGGTTGGGTCACTTACCATCGCCACGATGCAGGGCGAGACCCTGACCCAACTCTGTCTGTCTGTCTGTCTCTCTCTCTCTCTCTCTCTCTCTCTCTCTCTCTCTCTCTTCGTCTCTCTCTCCGTCTCTCTTTCTCTCTCTCTCTCTCTCTCTCTCACACACTTACACACACACACACACAAACCGGCAGGGTCACCCACCGTCGCCGCGACGCCGGATGATGTCCTGACCCCGCTCTCTCACTCTCTCTCTCTCTGTTTGTCTCTCTCTCTCTCACACACACACATACACACACACACACACACACATATATACAACAAAAAACTTTTTCCCATAATACCTAAAAAAACAGTCCACTAAAACGACTACCTTGACCACCCACTCCCCCGAAAAAAACACCCCATGTACATTTTCACACCACACCCTCCCCAACTAAAAATACTCACCTTGAGTCATGCCACATAGCTCCTACCCACTCCCCCGTCGAACCACCCTAGGCAAGACGAACCCAGGGCCCTAACCTGCAAAACCCTGCCTGAAGGCAAAAAAACTGCTAAACACTTAACCTTTTTTAACCCACAGAATGTATCTCGAAAAAACAACCCCCCTTGCACAACCGGATAACAATACGAAACGACGCCACTGACGAGAAATCTGCTGAGACAGAAAATCACCCCAAGGAACAAGACAAATAGTCGCCCTCCCGCCATGACTACGACTCACACTCACACACCTGGTAAAACGTGTTGCATCCTCCAAACACGCCGTCGGGGCAGAAACCCTGACAAGGGTATCTGCTCGGTGTTTTTAAATGTCGGACGATGTCCGATTTAGTAAATGGTTATTCGGGCTTCATAACTTGATGAGATGGGTTATTTGCCAAAAGTTCATTAAAACCTGACCTATGACCGAGAAATGAAAACTTTTTAGAACCCTAGTCCGTACGTCCGCGACATCCGAGAGTAGTGGCAGTAACCGGATGTGCTTCGCTTTGTTGAGACCGCAGATGAATGTGCGGATATGAGAACGCTAAGGTTAGACCTATTCGACCTATAATAAGGTCGTGCGGCTGTTAAGCCGCGGAATTCAGGGCCTAAGCAGGCTAAAAAAAGGGTCGCTATGACGAAGTTGGGAGCGCAGCGTGAAGGGATAGTTAGTTCTTAGGGTCCACAAGGCTTGCGCCGAGGACCAAGGGCAGTGGTGTTAGGGTCGGTTGGGTAGGGCAACTGCTAAGGCCGTCGGCTGCTAACCCTGCCTGCCAGCCACTGTAGCGAGCGGACTGAGCAGGCACAGCCTGCTAGGCGCTGGTAGGGGGGCCTGCTGGGCACCGGAAACCCTTCATATAGAGGGGCCACTCCTTTTCTGAGGTGAGAAGGAGCTAGCCCAGTAGGTACTGTTGTCAGACTATCACCCTGCAGATTCATGGATGAAGCCCAACGACCGTGACCCAGCTCCTTTTGATAGGAGCGGCCCAACTTCTTTGAGGCGACGCGGTCAACTTCGACCGCGCGATCCACCAGATCGCGCGGCTGAAATCGGCCTCACAGGTCGCATGGCCCCTGCGCAAGGATGACACGCATGAATCGAGGAAGGAACCAAAAAAAAACTTCTAACTTTTATAGAAAAAAAAAAAAAAAAAGACTTACCTAAGTGCCCAGATACGGGCTTTGGCGAGGACATTGGGGCATCATCTCGAGGTAAGTCGCATCTTTTTCTTTTTTTTCTTTTCTTCTTTTGTTGTTCGTTCTGCCATTTAGGGCGAAACGACACGACGAGAATTAGCCGTTGGGAAAAATAAATAAATAAATAAAAATTAAAAAACTAAAACTAAAGCGCCATGTGGCGCTGCAAGAAGCAACGGGGACTTAGTGTCCCCACGAACTGTGCAGGCGCCCAAAGCAACGGGCGACCGTTTTTTTTTTTTTTTTTTTTTTTTTTTTTTTTTTTTTTTTTTTTCCGGAAAAAAGAAGAAGATTCTTTATTCAAAGCAAGACGAAACCAAACAAGCTCTGAGGCCGGGAATCCTCACAAACAACCCGGAAGGTAACCTGGGCCCCTGAAACAGGGACCCCTTATGCGAACCATGGACTAGTAAGATGCAGGCCAGGTTACTGCCCACGCATCGAGCCCTCTACAATTGAGCACGTTGTATCGAGCCCTCTGCTCTTCTATTCACAACTGTGAAACAAGATCTCTGCTCTTCTCAACTACCATCCTAGATTAACAAAAAGAAAGGGAAAAAATAAAAAAAGACAGAATAAGCCGTACTAATTACTAACCTTACTATTTTCAACAACTAGAGAGCACAGGCCTAAAACGGTCTGCTACACAATGGGCAACTCCCCTATGATGACACTCCAACCTCTTACCCCAAAAATTGCTCGTCCGCAGCCTGCAGTGACTGCCTGCCTACAGTGGCAAAAAATGAGTGTCCTGGTTACTGTCTATTCATACTCAAAACCCAACCCACCCAATTGTAACCACTACTGAGCGGGAACCAATAGCCCCTCAGCAAGTGTAACAATACGACTACTACCAATGATATAGTAGCTTTCGCAAATTCCTATTCTAACTATTGTTTCAACCAATTGCAAAATTCCAACATACCTTCTGGACCGACTGATACCAACCACATGGCGCCTTTGCTTGCTCCCCAAGTTCTGAGGAACCATCTCAAACTTTTTCCAACTGGAAGTCTCGCATTGTGTCTTCTGAGCCGATCCGACTTAATGTGCTGTCTTAGCTTATAGCTGATTGTGGATTTGATCTCTCTGTTAGAGGTGCCTTTTCCCTCAAACGTGGCTTTGTTCCTGACCTCCCAGATCGTAGAGCAAATAATCGCTCTGCAGGCCTGCACCACATATCCTAGGCCTTCTAGTGGCTGTACTGTAGCAGGAAGAAGCCCCAGGAGGGCCCATTCTCTATTGCAATCCCAATCCCATGCAGCAAAATCTTTCCAATGGATAGCCCACCATTGCCAAACACGTTTGGAGGCAGGGAAATCCCACCACAAATGAACTGTCGAATCAAAAGGTTATGTACACCGCTTACAACCAATTGAAATATTGATTCCTCGTCCCACCAACCACACCGCTGATGGAGTTACCAGTAAAGATAGCTGCCAGAGAATCGCAACATGCCTCTGTGAGGGTAGATGCTGAAGTTGTGTCCAAAGCCTGCCTATGTCCCTTATCACCTTTTCTCTTGAGCCTATGATTAAGTCATTCCATCTTTCCGACGCTACCACCTCTGGTCTTTTGGCAGGAAGGAGGAGTTCAGAAGTAGATCTCATCTCAGGCGTAGGCAGCATTGTACCCTCCTTCCCCAGACCTCTCCATCCCCAGGCAAATACACACAACGGGCGTTTAATCAGAGACACATCGGAGGTTGAGAGCACTATAAGGGAGCCTTTCTCATTATATTCCTCCTTAACTTTAATCTGCAAAAGTGGGACTCCCAACGGTGGTGTACTAACAACGTCCTCCTGATCACTGTTGCTTGAACTGCTACTTGAACAAACCTCATCTGGTGAGTGTATTCTATGCAGCTGTGCAGAGGAGGGTGTCCTACCCCATTCTTGAAAGGCTCTGGTACCATCCTCCTTATAGCCCATCAACTTCCAGTAAGTGGGCGGGTCTGTCTGTCTTTGAGTGATGAACCAGGTTCCAGGGGGGTCTACAGCTTCTGGCGACAGTAAATCTTTCCACCCCTGGGGGATCGCATTAATGAGATCTGTTATTTTTTCCTCCATATTCTGCAGATGCATCAGGCGCTGTCTCAATTCAGTGGGAGTGAGCCAATTACCCAGAATCTCATCCCATAAGTCCTTTATTATGAGAATCCCCTCCCTTACCCATCTATCTCCAAAAGTGCCTGATGCTTTAATTGCCCGAAAGCTAGATCCGTTTTGATCTCGAATGTGTGGATTATCGAATAATGGCTGACTAAGCACCTCTGCCTTTGTGACCGGCTGGGCCCATTCCGTGGGTTTGACCCTTCCCCAGGCTTTTATTACGTCTGCCCAAAACTTCGATTGGATCTTCCTATTAACAAAGGAATCTAGCTGCAGACACAGCCAAACATCATCTTCCCACGCCAGACCCCATTCTTCTGCTAAGATATGTTCACCCATTTCAATCCAATGTTCTGATCCATCATGGTTAGAGGCCTTAATTATCCAAGTGGCTAGCTGCAAACAGTTCCTTCTCAGTGGGTCTTCCAGTCCCAGCCCTCCCTTTTCCCGTGATTGCGAAATAAGATCCCATGCGACCTTGGAGATAAATCCCTGATCTTGTGAAAGCCAACAGAGAGGGTGACATCATACGAATTGATCCCACGTAACTGAGGAGAGATAGCAGTGAAGAATTAACTACCAGTGCACGACCAAACAAGGATAAGTGAGGTGTCGAGCCCCAGATCTTGATTTTTACACTCATTCGATTTTGCAGAACTTCCTCCTGAGCATTTTGGCACACATCCAGAGTGATTAAAACTCCCAAAAATCGTTCCGCTTCTCCCTTATTTATTCGGTTCATACCCCAGTCCGTTTGCAGAGTCATGCTTTACGGTAAGAAATACACGGACTTCTTCCAGTTCACTGCAGCTTCCGAAAAGAGAGAATATTCGTCCAGCAGAAGCTTAAGGGCATTGAGGGCAGCTGTAGAGTTCTCGCGAATGGCAAAGAGATCGTCTGCGAGTGCTTTAACTTTGCATTCGCTGTTTCTGAGTGCTAAGCCCACTATCTCTGCTCGGCGCCTGATATTACACAAAATAACCTCTAATTGAATCACAAAGAGCAGGGGGGCTAAGGGGCATCCTTGCCTAAGCGAATGCGTGAGCGGAAAGGGATCCGACTGAAAACCGTTAACCATCACCGCCGCTGTAGAATGGGTATACAACAGTACTACCCATCTGCAAAACACTTCACCAAAACCCATTTTCCTCAGTGCCGTGAGCACAAAGCTCCAATTAACTCTATCGTACACTTTCTCCAAATCCAACAATAAAATAGCTAGGTGTCTCTCTTCTTTCTCCACAATTTTCAGCGTTTCTATTGCCTTTACTATATTTACAAAAATTGATCGTCCCTGTACAAAAGCGGCCTGGTCGGGAGCAACCAAAGCAGGTAAGTACTTGGCGAGACGTCTGGCTAATGATTTTGCCAGAATCTTGTACGAGACATTTAATCTGGAGATTGGTCTCCAGTTCCGAATGTCGTCACGGTCACCCTTTTTGTACAACAAGGTGATAATGTCGTGACACATACTTGATGTTAGTTCGCCTCCAGTAAGTACATTATTGTACATGTTCACTAAGGTATCTGCACACTCTGGCCAGAATTGAGCAAAAAACTCCACTGTTAATCCATCCGAGCCCGGGGCTTTGCCCCTAGCCATTGATTGTACTGCCAGCTTCACCTCAGTCTCAGAGAGAGGTCGATCTAAATCCAAACGACCAGACATAGTGAGCTTCCTATCCACAACCTCCCATAAGTCCGTTTTGTGCAGCTGTCCCGATTCTAGCTCTGACGGGCTCCGTCTGGATGTAAGTATATCGTAGAAATATGCTTCTGCGTATGTGCACATGGCCACAGAGCTGGTTGCCACCGGGGCCCTATCGCCAAAGGGATGTTTGAGAGATTTCATCTCTTGTTGAGAGTAATGGGGTAGAAGTCTCTGAAACGTGGTTTTGGTCATGCGGTCCCCTGCTATTATTCCTTTCACAATCAAAATTTTCTTCCATCTGTTGGACTTTTGATCTTGTAACTCGTCCCATTTCTGCATTCTTTCTGCGCGTACTAGGCTCCACCAGTGAACATCAATTGATCGCTGAGGTAATGATGCAATTATAGCTTCAACCTCATCTATAAAATTTTTAACTTTGGCTTCTTCCTTATTGTCCTGAAGAGCTAGAATACGAGAAAAAATACTAAGGGTATCCGAAATGAAAAATAAGCATGCATCCCACCACACACTTTCAGTATCGAACAAGTGCTTCTTCTCTACCCACCTTTTTAGCTGAGCATTGACCCAGTCACAAATCCCTTGATCCTTTAAGATCTCGTTGTTCAGTCTGAAGGTGCCCTTACCTCTTTCTGAAACTTCTCCCCAGCGGAGAGACAGCACGATGGGACTGTGATCTGATATCGGGTGTGGATGTAAACATATACTGATCGTGTTATTAGAGAACTTTCTGCTGGTTAGGAAGAAGTCCAGCCTGCGGGGGGCTACTCTCCTGCCCGATAGCAGTTGTGAAGAGAACCACGTGTAACCGGGGTCCGCTGGCTTGATCAGTCTAAAAGGGTCGATGAGATCCAATTCCGTCATCAGATCGGTAATTGCATCAAGATCCCTGTCGGCATTCTGCAAATGGAAGAGGGGGTTAACATCATCCAACGAAAGATTCCATTCTCCTCCTATAATTATATCATCGACATCAGGTAGATTATCCATTAATAGTGTGAGGAAGTCCCTCCGTTCAGATCTGTCTGTAGGTGCATATATCGATGCAACCGCCCATTCCTTGCCAGCTGTTAAAAATTTCACCCATGCCCATCTGCCCAGATGGTCAAAATCGTGATCCAGGATAACAGCGTCTAAGTTCCTATGGATAAAAATTGCAACCCCACCTCTGGACTCTACCGCTGGTGCCCATACCTGCGGGCCATCCCACCATGCTCCTAGGGACAGGATCTTATCGTGATCTAACTTGGTTTCCTGTATGCATAGGATAGAAATTCGTTCTGTATGCAACCATGACTTCAATTTCATACTCTTATTCCGGCCCCCCGTGTCCCACAGGCCCCGGATATTCCACGATGCAACTTTAGTTTGGAGCATGGTCTCCAAATTTTTGTTGCCGAGATTGGATGCGGATGGAAGGGACTGCAGAGCGTGACTGTGAGGGACCCGTGTCCCATTTCTGCGTGAGATAAGAATAGAAGAGAGGGGTATGGAGTCCCCTCAACTTGGGGATTTTCTGGGACAATTTGCCTAGGCAACCAGCATTCATGTCCCCTAATATCTGAAACTTTGAAAGTTCCGGATGATCGGGGAAGATGAACCATTCAATTGGGAAAAGGGTGAGCCCTTGACCAACTAATCGCAGAAGATTATCCTGGGTTAGCCTAGCATCCATTAGTGGGGTGAATAATTTAACCCTTCGACCAGAGTCCTCTACAAAGAACCGGGGGGTAGGGATGTCTGGGATGATCCTTACCGCAATATCGCTCCGACTGATGTTCAAGATATCCATAGGCATTGGTGGATTGCTGATCCGTTGGGACGGAAGAACCGTCACTCCAGGTTCAGTTGACCATGCAAGAGTAAAGTTCCCTTCAACTGTGGTGATAAATAAAAGCGGAAGAAGGTGCTTTTCCCACTCACAATCACCCCCTTTGGTGGACTGTCTTCGGTTCCGCTTCAACGGTGACAGACCTTGTTCCTTCATTCTCAATTCCCCAGATTTAGACAAGGAAGTTACGGAATGCTTTTCGTCCACCTCTTCCTCGATCCGGACGACATCGTCGTTCTCCCCAATTTGCCTTCGTTGCTTCGTTGGAGTTGTATCCGTCCTTGGCCGCTGGCTGCTACTGGAAGGGTCTGGTGCCCCCGAGCTCTGTTGACCCATCTGCTCTACGTAACGCTGTTGCAGCTGACCATTTGAGGCAGCCACGTTATGACCATTCTGAACTCCCATAGCTTGGTCTCGAAGTGGCGAAAAGAAAGGGTTAACCCTAATATTTCCATAGGGGTCAACCGTCTGCTGCGGACCCGTAGGGCCTTTGCCAAGGGGGCCCAACGCACCAGAGTACATAGGTTGTTTTGAGCGATTCCTTGAAGACCTCGATCCTTCCTCCTATTTCTCCGATGGTGAGCGTCCTTCCGAAGGTTAACGATCTTGACTTGCCCTATCGGGGGAGCTTGGGTGATGAGAACTTGGTTGTCTGCTGCTACTGGAACTTGACGAGGTGCTAGGTGCTGGACTTGGAGCTCGTCTTCCTTGTTGTCGTGGACACTGATCCACCTCGTGGAAATACTTCCTGCACTTACTGCACCACGGGGTCTGAGCGTTTGCCACTTTCAGCTCGATCAATTGCCCCTGGAAGGTAGTGAAGGAGATCGTCTCCTTCAGTCTCGGAAGCGCCTCCAGTGACAAGTCCATCCTTACGTTAATTAACCGAGGCGTTCTAGCATCCTTCTCCGACGGGTAGGTCTTCAGAACATGCCCGATGGAGGACTCCACAACTGACTCAAGATAACAAAATGCATCGATTGGGACGTCAATTATCCTAATCCAAAAATACGTCCTCTCCGCTTCTTTCCGCATGTCCTGAATCTCCTTCTTGGTCAGCCAAGGTTTGAATTATATGTTGTACCATCGTCCTCGCAGAGAGACTCGGACCTCGCCTTCTTGCAGCATCAACTCCACGACCCTTACATCCTTCGCGATGTAAGACAGCACGTTACTCGATTCTATGCTGACGCGCCCCCTCATGACCGAAGGGTCAAACCTTCCCTCCCCCAACCATATACTCTCATAGGCACGGATGACGTCCTCCTTGATCTTCTTCAGCAGATTCTTGGATCCGTCTTGAAAGATCACCGTGACGGTTCGCTCCTTTAGCCACTTTACTTTGATCTCATCTAACGATGGGTTCAAAGTGAAGTGGGCTTTCATTCCCTCCTCCTTGAGTTCTCCTATATCCCAGCCTGCCGGAAGGATGCCTATGTCGTAGCATTTTGCCAACATCTCCTGAACTCTTTCCTCTTCTACCCAGTAATTCGTCTGCGCTTGTGGCGGCGAACGATTCTGCGGCCCAACAACTTCTTCGACATTATTCTGCACTCTTGGAGTTGTTGCTTCTCCTTCAGCCCCAATCATTCCCACATCCACCCCATGGGGGGGAACCCCCTCTGCATCCTGGCGGTTGCCTTCTACCTCCATCTGAGGGTTCTCGCTGAGTCACAACTAGACGACGTCGTGGTAGTGCACCGATCGTGATATCCTGCTGTAAGACGACTTCGTTCTCTACGAAGGTGTGTGTAGTGTGTTTGCAAGTATGCGTATGTGCTTATACCTGCTCCTGTAGGGCTAGCCTACACGATTCGAACGTGGTCAGTCATAGCTGAAACCATCTCAGAGTTGTGACCTGCGCGTCAACAAGGTTGCTGAGCGTAGGCAGCGGCGGAGCCGAGCGCTATTTTGCGCCGTGAACCGGCGCCCCCCCCCCCCCACCTCCGGCGGCCGTTTTCTAAGAAAGGTAAGTTTTCGTTTTCTTTTCTTTCTTTCTTTTTCTAGATTTGTTTTAGATTTTTCTTCTTAGATTTCATTTAGATTTTTCCTCTTTTATTTTTCTTTCTTAGATCCCTCCCCCCCTCCCCCCCCGCCTACGATTTGGCTAGATGCCCGTTCGTTTCAACGAACGGGCTGTAGGACCTATTACTGCGCTTGAACCTGACGTTGTTGGCGTCTAGGTGCGGGCGCCAGTTTGGTCCTTTGGCGTTTTAGGACTGGAGGCCAGAGGTGTGGGGCCGTAGGTCGTAGATGTGATTGCTAGATTGTTTCGTCGGACTCTCACCGACTCATCAGGAGGCTGAACCTCGACAGTCTGGATGAGCAAAATTGAATGAATGTGTCGCCCGGGGGCTGGGTCCCACCAGCGCGTTATCGTAGTAGCTAGCTACCACAGTGCGACTCTGTGCGACTTTGCGTGGCACGCGGCGACTTCACAACACCGTCCACATGTGAAAATCGGACGGTTAAGGCGATGAGACACGAAGTCTTGAGCGTTGTAGGCGGCTTAGGGTTTTTCTTTTGTTTCACCGTCCGGCGGTTGCCTGTGGGCGTCTTCGTTATCGTGGTACCTGCCTACCACTTTCAAAGCGGGGTAGCTGGCTACCACAATCTGAGGTTTGGTTGGGTGGGTTTCTTTGACGGAATGTAATACTCGAGTGTGTAGACAGGATTGTCAGTATTGCACTCGCTTCAAGGGCTGCCTGCGTAGATGGGTTATGGCTGGGTGAACGTGGCGGGAAATGACACTTGCGTACACTTTTGACGTATCTTGCCTTATTAACGGTGACGTACATTTATGAGGAGAAGCAAGTCCTAACATGACACTTTTTATTCTGAACGGGCTAAAGGTGGACGTGTGTTTGGATCTGTGGTTTGCGTGAACACTCGATTTTCGTGCACATTCCCGTGAGGATTGAGCTCCTGAATCTGGACACGTTTCAACCACCGATGCCGAAAAGCAGTCCAATCTCGATTTTCTGCATTTTTCCACGCACACGTCTACATTCAGGCGTTCCCTATGATAATGGGACCTAGCCCCTGAAAACTGGCGTTCAGATGATACTGTGCAGCCTATGAGTGCGGTTGATTGTCTTGCTCCCACACACGGTGACGGCCTCGAGTGCACCGGGTCCCACATGAGCCGCACGTTCATTTACAGTCGTATGCATTTTTCCTCTTTCCCTTGTACACACCCCTGCCAATATCCCAATGGACATGTCCCACTTAGTGCCATCCCCGTGGCCACATTCCACTACGCGGAATTTAGGTACTTCCGCAGCGTTGAGTTTCATACTCGTCGCCCTAGGGGCCAAGTCCCACTAGCAGCATTGAGTTTCCTCATCCTGAATCTGGACGTGCTTGTGGCCATATGCGGTTGACCAAACACAATGCGACTTTTGCACACCTTCACTAACACGTCCAGATTCAGATGTCATCAATATGTGGTCCCTACTCTGGATCACGGGGGGAAAGGAGGGGGGGGGGCGTGGATGACAAAGATGAATGGCAAGCATCTCTTTATCAGTGCATGTACACGTTGCCCATCGCTAGTCTTCCAGAGTACATGTGATTTGCGAGGGTTTAGGTGTATTGAGGGAGGCGTTACTTCTTTATTCTGTTGCGGCGTAGTGTACATTATTCCGCTGTGTGATAAGTGCTGCTGCACTTCGTTTTTCTCTCTCTCTCTTCCGCGTTGGCCTTCGTAAGCTTACAGTGTATGTTTCCTATACACACAATCACACACACACACACACACACACACACACACACACACACAGACACACGCGGATGTATTTCAATCCTATGTTTCATGTAGGAGCTTTTGTGCTACATTTGGTGTTAACGCAAGTGCATGGTCTATATGCACAATAGTTATAAAATATGGTGAGAGCGTTTCATCTGTTCAGTCCACTTGGGTTATCCACAGTGTCTGTGTATTCGTCTCCTGCGTATATGACTTCACAGTTTCCATACATGGGTGAATTATTGTAGTTGGATATCATCTTACAATCTGACCGTGGCTTGTCGCACGTATGTAGTTTGGCTTCCATAGGTTGAGGGTATTCAGGGTTTCACGAAGTTGTCATGGACACGAATGTCCCTTTTGTGCTATTTCAGGATTCCTCCCTTGTTCGTCCTACCTTTAAAATACGGCTAGGCGTGTCCATGGGGGCGGATTATGAGGCATTGCGGCAGCATGTTTATGGCATCAGAGCTGAGAACACGAGCCAGCGGCCGGTTCACTGCTCCGTTGATGGCGAACGACATCAGCGTCCTAGTGTGATGGGTGGCTGCCGCACGTTTGAGTACGCTCCACTTCCACCTTACACACACTTCCGTGGGGATCATCCGCCCTTGCAGCATTACTTGTTGTCCTCTGGCTCCGATTCTGGGCCACATAGCGTGGAGAAATGGACGGATAGCTTGTGTCGTCAAACGACGGATGCTCGGTTTGAACACTTATATAAATCCGAATGTTTTTCTTCCCCCACGCATGACATCGTAGCACCATTCGCCGGTTTGTCCTCCACCACATAGGACGTTAATTGTCCCTTTCCACCACAGGGTTTATGTCATCGCTTTCCAATATTGGGACTTTTGACTCCATACATCCTGTACGTGCACATCCAGATGCGGGAGGTGTGGAACCTGCTACCCTTGAGTTGCAGTTGCGAAGTCATGCTGCAGGTTATGGAACCGCCTCGGCCTTGCATAGCAGTGCTTATAATCTGCGTGGGATGCCATCAATGCCTGCGTCAGGTGCACTTCACAGTTCATCATGCAGGGTAAGGACATGGAGTTCGCAACAGTGGAGCGGACGGCAACTGCGCAGTCACCTTCTGAGCGTGCGTGCGGGGTGTATGAAAATCTTGCTGTCGACATTCCTGTCAGTTCTGCTATGCACTTCTCCGATGTGGTGGGAAAGGTGATGTGTACTGTTGGGAGTGAAGGCACAATGTCGCAATGTCTGGCCATGGATGCTCATGCGGGTGGCGGTCTTCACACGTCGGTCACGTCCGTGACTACGCAAGACAATTCTCATACGGCTGTTGTTGTTGATGGAAGTCGATGCATTGAAGCAGATGGGGTTGGTTGTGCGCACTCCGAGATGCGGGTTAAAAGGGCGCATTCATTTTCTCAGCGCATGATTGCAGTACACGGCAGTTCACGCATGGCCTCCACCGTCGGTCATGGTGTGGAAATATCTATGCAGAGCAAAACTGTGCATACATATGACGACTTCCAATCTGCTATGATTGGATGTCTGCCGATTAATGTTTGTCGGGATGGCGGTGTGCATAGTACACGAGGAGCACAAACTTTGGTAGCTGATTGTCAGTCTCCAACTAGTGTGTATGGAAGTCTGATTGTCGATGGGAGAGGAGTTGGTTTTGGTCCTGCTGCTGATAAGATGGATATCCACCACCTTCGTGATATGTCAGCGGATGAACTTTTTGGAAGTGAACGCACGAACGCGCCGTCTGAGGCTACCGTGGACACTTCGGAGAGGGCACCTAGGACTACCATACCTGCGGCAGCTATGCCATTCATGTCTGCGTCAACTGCACAGGCTTCTGTGGCGACGGGCAGTGGCCGCTTGCGATGGAGGGAATGCTGGCAGATCGCAGGGGGTAGCAGGTCACAAGCGTGCAACGACAAAGGGTTCTCGGCGGGGGTCATCTGGTCGGACCGCAACTGATCCTATTGGGAGTACAACCGCCCCAAAGTCTAATGCTTTGCATATGAATAAGGGTAGTAAGCGAGCCTGCATTGCCGATCTTAATGGGCCACCTACATCAATGCCGAGTCAGAGTGATAATGGTGTGTCTGCATCAGACGAAAATGGTGCACCGGGTAATGTTGCAGGTTCGTCGGGTGTTGTGGGTTTGGACGAGATTGGTAGTCAGGATGAGTGTGCGGTCGGTGTTGCATGTGTATCGGGTGTTCGTATTCCTTCAGCTGAACGGATAGATGGGGATGTTGGCGTTGTTGCATGTAAGAAGGCCGCACGGAAGAAGCCTGTAAGCAACCCGGGGAAGACACCGAACTGGGGCGACGATGAAACGATGATGTTATTGTCGATGAGGTGTGAGTTCAAGTGTGGTAAAGGGGAGGATTCAAAGGCGTTGGGTAAAGCTTGCTCGATTCATAATGTATGGGGTTTTATTAGCGCAAGGCTTATCGCTGCGGGGTTCGAACGTACAAGAGATATGTGCAAGAACCGTTGGAATTTCGTGTACAAGAACTATAAGCTCATCGTGGATAACGATAGGCGGAGCGGTGCACAAAACCCGGCTATCCTCCTCGATAATATTACTGAATCGCATGGGAACGGGGAACCATAGGGATTGCATAGTGATGTTGCCGATGGGATGAAGAACACGAGTGAATGTGATGGTGGACCGACTTCCCATGGCGAGAATGAAGCCTCCCAACCTGGTTCCAACATCGCTGGTACCTCAACAGATGGTTTGAGGAATATGCCCGCCCCCGTGCAAGCACAGACATTGGGCCGGCGAAAGCGGTCCGCACAAAGCGCCAGAGAACAGAGTGTGCAATCAATCACAGCGGCGATGCGTGATCAATCGTCGGCATTGGAAAGAGTCGGGAGCGCAAAGAGCAAAGCGATGATGGAGGCGTGTGACAAGCAAATCGCTATGCGGGAGAGATGCATAGAGAAGACATGTGCAGCCTTGGCTGCTGACACTAAGGCACATTTGTTGTCTGCGAGGAGGATGGGGAAGAGGATGGAGCGTGGTTGCGCTATCCTCGCCCAAGCAATCACTGCTTTGGCTGGGGATCGTACCAGGGGTCGTGACTCGGATACGGCGACCTCGACATTGGAAGACTGAACAGGACTTGAGAGAGAGAGAGAGAGAGAGAGAGAGAGAGAGAGAGAGAGAGA